CAGCTCAGAGCCTGATGCGGGGCTCGAACTCACGGACCGCGAGATCGTGACCCGGCTGAAGTCGGACGCTTAACCGACTACGCCACCCAGGCGCCCCAGTTCATTCATTTTAAAATGAACTTTAAAATCATTTTCACAATTGCCCACCGAATGTCCCCTGAGTAAACTGGTTGAATGGAGGTCTTCAAAGAGGCTGGGAGGTCACAAGGGGACCTATGCCCACTTGAGGGCTGCAGGCAAAGTGTGACCTTGGAAAGGGGGTCTGGACCAGAGCTGGGACCAGAGAATTCCTGGTGGAGCCCGTGAAGCGGCCAGCAGAAAGCGAGACCCACCACCAGGAAGAGCCCCACAGGCAAGAGCGAGGGCTGAGGAGCGGCCAGGCCCCAGGGAGTCCCGTGGAGGGCAGCTCAAAGGCAGGCAAGAATCAACTGGTCCTCACAGTTGAGTGACAAAAGCCAGAGGGAAGCTCGGCCTCCGGGGCTGGTGTCAGGCATGTGACAGGAAGGCCTGGGCTGGTCTTCTAATGGACCCAGCACCCAGCCTTGGTCAGACACGGGGACATATCTATGCTAAACAAATAAACAAGTGGACCATGGCTAAATCCAAGAGGACAAGGGCGGAGCAGGGCATGGAGGGAGCAACAAAGGGGGGAGATAAGCTCGTGGGTGAGTGTCTGGGAGTGGAGAATCGGAGGGGGGGGAAGAGTCAGGTGTGCCTGGTGAGGCAACAGTGAACCTCTGTGCCCTGGGAATCACAGCCACCTACGAGGAGCAGAAACACTGGCAGAGACGTGGCTGAGACGAATCCCTACCCCCTCCTGCCCTTTTCTGGACCCACACTGCCTTCCCACTCCCCCTTGTCACCTTACCCAGAGCAGGTCTTGGGAGAGGTCCGTGCAGAAGGTGGGAGTCTGGCTTTGGACGCATCAAAGGAGTATGTTCCATGCGGTGGTTGACTCCTGTTGACATCACCGCCGGACCTACGATGCCGCAGAGTGGGAAGTGAGAGCCCTGCATTGGGGGCAGACAGGCCTAGCCTGCTCCCGGCCCCGCCAGCCACTAGCTGTGCTGCTTAAAGCTAAGGTCCCCTCTGAATAACACGCCGCTCGAATTAAGTGACACGGCATATATACAGGGCCTGGCATACAACAGGTGCTCAAGAAACGTTCAGCGGTGTCCACCGGGCTCTTCGCTGGCCTTTCTGGCTATAAACGGAGCATATTAGGAATTAAATAGGTTTCTACAGCTACCACTGCTTAGACATGTGTTCTAAATCTCCATACAGCTGGGGTGGGGTGGGGGGGCAGGAATATGTTCTGAGTTCCAAATTGTTGGCTTATCCAGAACCTTTAGAACGCCCTACCTCCTTCTGTCTGCCCCAAACCCGTCCTGAATCACCGCCAGCACCCGGAACAGTCTGGCTGGTGCCATCCGGTGAAGTCATTCTTGAAGATCAAGGAGGCGAAATCAACCAGGCCGTGAGTGCCAAATATCGGACGGGTTGTTTAAAGAGCAGAAGCCACCAGGTGCTGGCTAAGGGGACATGGGAGTGACATTTCCCGCATTTCCAGGCCAGGGAGGAGGCCTGTGATATGAGAGGACCACCACGTGTCTAGCACCATGCTGAGCCCTTGTAATGGCTACACCTGGAGTCCTCACAACAAACTGTGGGGGGGAGAAGGGGTGGTAATTAGTGCCCCTGCAGAAGAGGAAACCAAGCTTCTAGAAGGTGACAGACCCAGACCCGGAAAGCAGATGCTGCACTTTCCGCTCAAGATTTTGCGGGCTATGGGGCGCCTGGGTGGCGCAGTCGGTTAAGCGTCCGACTTCAGCCGGGTCGCGATCTCGCGGTCCGTGAGTTCGAGCCCCGCGTCGGGCTCTGGGCTGATGGCTCGGAGCCTGGAGCCTGTTTCCGATTCTGTGTCTCCCTCTCTCTCTGCCCCTCCCCCGTTCATGCTCTGTCTCTCTCTGTCCCAAAAATAAATA